ATGCCCTTTGCCTCATTTGTCATGTCTTTATGATGGGAACATTTAAAATCCACTTTTCTCGCTATTTGAAAATATACAATAAATTGTTGTATACTATAGTCGCTCTATAGTGCTGCAGAACATGGAAACTTATTCCTCTTACCTAGGTGTACTTTTGTATTCAGCAACCAACCTCTGGCCATCACCCCTCCCTCTGCTTCCCAGCATCTAGTAGCCATTGCTGTACTCTCTACTTCTATGAGATCAGCTTTTTAAGCCTCCACACATGAGTGAGAACACACAGAATTTATCTTTTGGTGGCTGGCTGTCATCCAGGTTGGCGTGCAATGGTGCAATCTCGGCTCACTGCAACCTCCGCTTCCTGGGTACAAATGATTCCCCTGACTCAGCCTCTCGAGTAGATGGGATTACAGGTGCCTGCCACCATGCTTGGCTGCTTTTTGTATTTTTAGTAGAGATGGGTTTCACCACATTGGCCAGGCTGGTCTAGAACTCCTGACCTCAGGTGATCCACCTGCCTTAGCCTCCCAAAGTGCTGGGATTACAAGCATGAGCCACCACGCCCGGCCTGGCTTATTTCACTTAAGATAATGTCCTCCAAGCTTACCATGTTGCCACAAAGGACAGAATTTTGTTATTTGCTAAACAGTATTCCATTGCATATGTATATCTGATCCCTCTCTTATAAAAACATTTTTATTGGGATTTAGGGCACCCCCTTCCAGATGATCCAGGATAATCTCCTCATCTCAAAATTCTTAATCCAATGACATTTGCATAGTCCCTTGTTCTAAATAAGGTGACATTCACAGTTTCCAGGAATCAGTGCATGTATATCTTTTGCAGGGAGGAAATGCATTTTTCAGCCTAACACAGTGGGAGTGAGCAAGGTGGAAGAGGATCAGCCTCTCTCACAGAAAAAACCATCTTCCTTTACAAGAGTGTTGCCCCAATCCTTTTTCTGACACCATCTGTAGGATTTTAGCTCCATGGATGCACCTCCCATTCCATCATATGGCAGCTGTGAGAATGTGCCACTCACATCTCTGACTGCAGGAAATGCAATGGACCCAGGGCCGTGGCCACCACCCTCAGAAGTGCATCACTGCATTGGGGGTGAGGCTGTGCTTTCCATGGGCTGCTCCACCAGTGCCTGAGCACAGCAGGGAAGCAAGGTAGGCCCATTATGGGATCCTCTGACAGATGACCAGCTGAGGACTCCCCGAAGGCCTTGCTGAACCTGTCTTAGAACTGCCCTCCAGACCAAGAGGCTGCCACCCAGACTCCCTTCCCTTCTTCCTGCTCTTCAGTGCTCCCTGGGGTCAGCCCTCAATCCCAGTCTGACTGCTTTCAAAATCTTCTGACTCCCTCCTCATTTCTCTCACAAACATTCCCCCTAAGAAGTTTCTTGCGTGTTAATCCCTTCTTGGCGTCTGCTTCTTAGACAATCTAGACTAACGCATGTTACCTACTTAATACTTACCTTTAACTCAACTTATCATTAAATAAAGGTATTTAAGAAGGAATTTTACATCGCTACTGGAGATAGGAAGCCAAATCACTTGCCATAAATAGAGGGAACGCTGAATATGCATAGGTATAGACCAACGAAATAATGTTATTACATTTTAGCCGGTTACTCTTTGCTTACTTGCCAGAGGATCAAAGTCCGAGATTGGGTTGCTCTTTAAAGGGTGTTTAGCTAGTGTTAGGCCAGTGTTAAAGACCTATTCACAGCTGGGCACAGTAACTCACGCCTGTAATCCCAACATTTCAGGAGGTCGAGGTGGGTGGATTGCTTGAGTTCAGGAGTTCAAGACCAGCCTGGGCAACATGGTGAAACCCTGTCTCTACTAAAAATACAAAAATTAGCCAGGTGTGGTAGCATGCACCTATGGTCCCAGCTACTTGGGAGGCTGACGCAGGAGGGTCACTTGAGCCCAGAAGGTTGAGACTGTAGTGAGCTGTGCTCACGCCACTGCCTTCCAGCCTGGGTGACAGCAAGACCCTGTCTCAATCAATCAATAAATAAATAAATAAAACCACACAAAACAGCCCTATTCACATCAAACCAAGACTTTCCCCTGAATCTAAGCAGAAGAATCAAAAGAGAATTAAAGAGAGAATAACTTTCTCATTTGGGGTTTCCACGTTACCATTTACCATAGGCCAATAAATATTCCTCAGACAGACACATAGTCACACACATGGTTGAAAGGCAGTAATGATAAGTTAATTGTTGGGGAAAACTTGTGGCAGGAAAACTACTGAAACACTAATTTGTGTTTTGTTCTAGTAGTGAGTTTTCCTCTATCAGCACCAATCAGGTAGCTGTTCCTTCACGCTTTCTTGTCTTTGGGGGTCTGTGTGGAGAGGGCAGGGTCTTTTGAAGGCGCTTCTCCTGCAGCAGTCGAAGCAAGCTAAATTCATGAGTGGTAAGAGCAGTGTGTGAACACAGGACCATGGAAGCACAGGAGGAGGCTGTTCCAGCTGGGGAGGAGGACACGGGCTTGATCCAGAGAGCAGTGAGGACCCCCATTTCCCTCCTTGCGGACAGAGTCCAAAGTGGAGAGGGAAGAAGGTGGTCGCATGGCAAACCCACCACATTGGGACGGAGCCTTGGCGTCAAATTAAAGAAATAAAATCACACGACAATATCCATACGCTTGAGTTTGTGCATCTGGATTCCTACACATCTGTAAGCATCTTAAGTAATTCTTTTTCTTTTTCTTTTTTTTTTTTTTTGAGATGGTGTCTCCCTGTGTTGCCCAGGCTGGAGTGCAGTGACGCAATCTCAGCTCACTGCACCCTCCGCCTCCCAGGTTCAAGCAATTCTCCTGCCTCAGCCTCCCAAGTAGCTGGGACTACAGGTGTGTGTTATGACACCCAGCTAATTTTTGTATTTTTAGGAGAGCTAGGGCTTCACCACGTTGGCCAGGTGCCTGTAATCCCAGCTACTTGGGAGGCTGAGGCAGGAGAATCACTGGAACCCAGGAAGCAGAGGTTGCAGTGAGCTGAGATTGCACCACTGCACTCCAGCCTGGGCAACAGCACGAGAATCCATCTCAAGAAAATAAAAAAAGAAAGAAGGAAGAAATACTACGTGAACCACAGGTGTAATATTAAATTTCCTAGTATCCACATAAAAAGTTTTTTTTTTTTTTTTTTTTTTTTTTGAGAGGGAGTTTCGCTTTTGTTAACCCAGGCTGGAGTGCAATGGTGCGATCTCGGCTCACTGCAACCTCCGCCTCCTGGGTTCAGGCAATTCTCCTGCCTCAACCTCCTGAGTAGCTGGGATTACAGGCACGCGCCACCATGCCCAGCTGATTTTTTGTATTTTTAGTAGAGACGGGGTTTCACCATGTTGACCAGAATGGTCTTGATCTCTTGACCTCGTGATCTACCCGCCTCAGCCTCCCAAAGTGCTGGGATTACAGGCTTGAGCCACTGCGGCGGAAAAGTTTTTTAAAGAGCCACACATGGTGGCATGGCCCTGTAGTCCCAGCTACTACATAGGCTGAAACAGGAGGATCCCTTGAGCCTAGGAGCTCGAGGCTGCAGTGAGCCATGATTGCGCCCATGAATAGCCACTACATTCCAACCTGGGCAACATAGTGAGATTCCCATCTCTCAAAAAGTTTAAAATAAATAAAAGTTTCAAAAACTGATTTTAGGCTGAGCACGGTGGTTCATGCCTGTAATCCCAGCAATTCAGGAGGCCGAGGTAGGCAGATCAAGAGATCAAGACCATCCTGGCCAACATGGTGAAATCCCATCTCTACTAAAAATACAAAAAAAATTAGATGGGCATGGTGGTGTGCGCCTGTAGTCCCAGCTACTCAGGAGGCTGAGGCAGGAGAATTGCTTGAACCCAAGAGGCAGAGGTTGTAGTGAGCTGAGATCATGCCACTGCACTCCAGCCAGGTGACAGAGCGAAACTCTGTCTCAAAAAAAAAAAAAAAAGATTTTAATAATATATTTTATTTACCCTGATATATCCAAAACACAATCATTTCAACATGTAAATCAATATACAAAATGGTTAATGTTTTACATTATTTTTTTCATATTAAATGTTTGAAATCCAGCGTGTATTTTACCTTATAACACATCTCATTTCACACTACCCACCTGTCAAGTGCTCAATAGCCAGTAACCACGTGACCAGTGGTGTTTCCCATTTGGGGCAGGGCAGGACTAGAGGCAGATTAGTCATAAATTTAGGACACCAGAAAAGCAGGAGGACAAAGGAGAGGGGCTGAGAAAGAGCGACAAAGAGAGAGATTCTGCTTTGATGAGTTTAACCAGAACCTTGCAAAATAGTCTAGAGAGTGGAGATTTAAGATAAGCATCGGCCGGGCACGGTGGCTCACTGCAGTGTGAGAGGCTGAGGCAGGCAGATCACCAGAGGTCAGGAGTTTGAGACCAGCCTGGTCAACATGGTGAAACCCTATCTCTACTAAAAAGACAAAAATTAGCCAGGCATGGTGGTGCACGCCTGTAATCCCAGCTATTCAGGAGACTGAGGCAGGAGAATTGCTTGAACCCAGGAGGTAGAGGTTGCAGTGAGCTGAGATCATGCCATTGCACTCCAGGTTGGGTGACAAAGGCGAAAAACCGCCTCAAAAAAAAAAAAAAAAAAAAAAAAAAGACAAGTACATACGTTGTGGTTTAGCATTGTTTATATTTTGAATTACAATGGGGTGGGGATGATAAGACACCATGATCTTGTCCTCGATCAGAGGACAGCTGAAGGTCTTAATGCAGTCCTGGGACACCAAGGCACCAAGATGTGGCAGCAGAACTCAATGTAGCCTGTTCAATCAGAAAAGGAATGTGTTAAACGCTGTCAGGTAGCTCATGGAATCTCAGGAGACGGAGACACCATCTTGAAAGGAGGCATCCTGAATCGATGCAGGCCACTCCTGTGAGGGCGTCTGTCCCTGCCATCTCTGGCCAGGATGTCTGAGTAACTACCTACCATTCTTTTTTCTTTTTTCTTTTTTTCTTTTTCTTTTTTTGTGGGGCTGCCCCAAAGGGCAGACAGGTTTATTGGGCAGCAGCTGGAAAAGTCAGTGGTTGGACTTGGTCACACGCGCCAGCTCGTCCTCCTTCTTGATGGCATAGGAGTTGGAGGAGCCCTTGGCGGCACTGATGAGCTCATCTGCCAGGCACTCAGCAATGGTCTTGATGTTCCGGAAGGCAGCCTCATGAACGCCCGCGCCCAGCAGCCAGATGGCCTGAGTCACCTGGGGCAGTGGGGACACGTCCACAGCCTGTGGTCTCACAGTCCCGGCTGCCCCATGCGCGTGGAGTCCTCCCGGGGACCACTGTTGATGACGGCGTTCACCAGGAGCTGCAGAGGGTTCTCGCCTGTGAGCAGGTGGATGAAATCGAAGGCATGCTTGACGATGCGCGCAGTCGTGAGCTTCTTGCCATCGCTGCGGCCATGCATCGTCACGGAGCTAGTGACGCGCTCCACGATGGGGCACTGAGCTTTGCAGAAGCGTTTCGCGGCATACCGCCCTGCACTGTGAGGCAGGTACTTGGCATACTTCTCCTCCACTGCAATGTTATCCTGCAGGGAAATGTCATTGAGCTGCACATCATCGGTGCACCACTTCCCAAAGAGCTTGCTGTCAGGGGTCTCTGCTGCCGCTGGTGCTCCTGTCTCCCACTGGGTCATCCTGAGAGCACAGCTGGAGCGTGTCCGTCGCTCGCGTGGAGCACGCGCCGCTCTGTACAGACAGGAAGACTGCCTACCATTCTGGCTGAGCACAGGGCTCAACCACCAGGACACTGGCCACAGCACCCTCCAAACTGCAGACGGCTCACTCACCCTTGCCCCAGCGGACACCGACGGCCCTTCCTGGTTCATATTGTTCATGTTGTTCCCTTCTAACTGGAGTCTATGTGAAAATCCCAGTCACAGCACCTGGGTCACATGCTTGCACCCAGTAGCATGGAGTCTGGGAAAGGAATTTGCAGACTCTGTTGTAAGGAAGTGAACTCCTAAGTGGGAAATTGTGCAAGCATATAGGTGTGCAGTGCAGCAGGTTCCTATACATGCCCACTATGCTAATTGATTTGGTTCCTCTTTTAAAAATTATTGTGACAGACGGGCTGGTTTCAACATAGTGAAACCCTGTCTCTACTAAAACTACAAAAATTAGCCAGGCGTGGTGGCACATGCCTGTAACCCAAGCTGCTCAGAAGGCTGAGGCAGGAGAATCTCTTGAACCCAGGAGGTGGAGGTTGCAGTGAGCTGAGATCATGCCACTGCACTCCAGCCTGGGTGACAGAGTGAGACCTTGTCTCAAAAAAAAAAAAAAGACATTGTGACAATCAACAAAGGAGAAAGCAACCCATGGAATGGGAGAAAATGTTTGCAAATCATATAGTCAATAAAAGCATACGCAAAATAAATAAGGAAATCATGCAACTCAATAGCAAAAAGCCCCAAATAACCCAATTAAAAATGGGAAATGGACATGAATAGACATTTTTCCAAAGAAGACATACAAATTGGGTTGACAGGTACACGAAAATGTAGTCAACATCACTAATCATCAGAGAAATGCAGATCAAATCCACCATGAGCTATCACCTCACAACTGTCCAGGTGACTATTACCAAAAAGGCAAAAACTAACAAGTGTTGGCAAAAATGTGGAGAAAAGGAAACCCTCAGCAATCATTGGTGGGAATGTAAATTGGTACAGCCATTATGAAAAACAGTAGGGAGGTTTCTCAAAAATATAAAAATAGAACTACCATATGATCCAGCAGTCCTACTTCTGGGTATATATCCAAAGGAAATGAAATCACTGTCTCCAAGAGATAGCTGCACTCCCGCGTTCACTGCAGAATTATTCACCATAGCCAAAGTGTGGAAACAACTGAAGTGTTTATCCATAGATGAATGGATAAAGAATAGAAGACACAAATAAATTAATCGTTCTGATATGTTTAGACTCCAGGGCCTCTCTATGGAAAGGTCAGCTTCTTATCCAGAAAAGATAATATTCAAAACAAAAAACAGGTATTCGAGACAGTCACTGTTCAAGACAATGACTGAACTTACACACAGGGAGGAGAAATAAAAAGCCAGTTTCAGCCGGGTGCGGTGGCTCTCACCTATAATCCCAGCACTTTGGGAAGCTGAGGTGGGCAGATCACTTGAGCTCAGGAGTTCGAGACCAGCCTGGCCAACATAGTGAAACTTTGTGTCTACTAAAAACACAAAAATTAGCTGGCATGGTGGTGTGCATCTATAGTCCCAGCTACTCAGGAGGCTAAGGCAGGAGAATTGCTTGAACCCAGGGCACAGAAATTGCAGTGAACCAAGATGGCACCACTGCACTCCAGCCTGGGCAACAGAGTGAGACTCCATCTCAAAACAATAAGTAAATAAAATAAAAAGGCTGTTTCCCTGTTTCCTTTAGTGTATGTGTTTTGCCTAAAGGGATGAGGCTCATTTTGGTGAAAAATGCTTTCATGCAGAACATTTTGAATTCTTTCACTTCCCTCCGTAAATGTTTCAGGCCCTGACCTGAACAAGGAAATCAAAATAAGGTAACACTGGCTTCACACAAACCTGAAAACTATAATCTAACTGTACGTACAACTTCTTTACTTTAAAGAAATTTCAAAGTCCATTTACCTATGCCAAATCAGTAGACTGAATTTTCTCTTTTAGGAAGTTTTTAGCCAAATTAAAATTAATTTAAACTCACTTTAAAATGCAAGAAAGAGGCCAGGCGCAGTGGCTCAAGCCCGTAATCCCAGCACTTTGGGAGGCCGAGGCGGGTGGATCTCGAGGTCAAGAGATCGAGACCATCCTGGTCAACACGGTGAAACCCCGTCTCTACTAAAAATACAAAAATTAGCTGGGCATGGTGGTGCGCGCCTGTAGTCCCATCTATTCGGTAGGCTGAGGCAGGAGAATTGCTTAAACCCAGGAGGCGGAGGTTGCGGTGAGCCGAGATCGTGCCATTGCACTCCAGCCTGTGTAATGAGCAAAACTCCATCTCAAAAAAACAAACAAAAATAAAAATAAAAATTGCAAGAAAGGATTTGCAAGACTGACTAGTGTTTGTTCTGTGGCCAAGAAAGAGGAGCATGCCTCTGCCAGCACTGGCCTAACAGGTGCCTCATGAAGAACAGGCTTCAGGACAGTGATCCATCAGGTCTACCAAAAAGCAGTGGGACTCCAGGTTCAGCCTAGAAAGAGGGGTCACTGCTAAGTCGGACTTTTACCAGACAACCTAGATCCCAAACAGATCTTGGGTCCCCAACTGACGAGGCTGGAGCACAGTGCCGGGAGTCAACAGGGCCAGAGTCGTCTCAAAGAGTCAGTGATCTTTGCTGAATTTATTTTTAATTTTTTTTAGTAGAGACAGGGTTTCACCATGTTGGTCAGGCTGGTTTCAAACTCCTAGCCTCAAGTTATCCACCCACCTTGGCCTCCCAATGTGCTGGGATTACAGGCGTGAGCCACTGCACCTGGACATTTTGTTGAATTTTTTAATTGATATATAATAGCTGTACATATTTTGGGGGTACGTGTGATATTTTGGTAGATGTATACAATGTCTGATGATCAAATCAGGGTAATTGGGAAATTCATCCCCTCAAATGTTTATCTGTCCTTTGTGTTGGGATACTCCTGTGGACACCCTTTCCTCTCCCCCTGGTGGTCAGTACTATCTTGACTTTTGTTGTTAGTCATTTTCTTACTGCAACTAACGATTATTTAAATTATTAATTTTGAGACAGTACAAATTCACAGGCAGGTGTGTGTCCTTTGCCTGTCTTCTCCAATGGTAAATCTTACAGAATTAGAGTATGATATCACAAGCAGGATATTGACATTGAGACAATCCGCAGCTTTTATTCATATTTACCCCGTTTTACCTGTACTCATTTGTGTATGTGTGTGTGTGTGTGTGTGTGTGTGTGTGTGTGTAGTTAGTTCTATACAATTTCACCAGGCAATGTAGGCTTGTATATCAACCACCACAGTCAAGATACTGAACCGTTCTAATGCCACAAGAATATTTTGTGTCTTCCTTTTACAAATCCTTAACTCCTAGCAACCACCAATGTTTTCTCCATTTTTGTAATTTTGTCATTTCAAGAATGTTATATAAATGGAATCATAAAATATGTAAACTTTGAGACTGGCTTTTTTCATTCAGCATAATTCCTTTGATATTCTTCCAAATTGTCGATTGTTGTCTAATGGCTTTCTTGTTGTTGTTGTTGTTGTTGTTTTTGTTTGTTTGTTTTTGTTTTTTGAGACCGAGTCTTGCTCTGTTGCCCAGGTGGGACTGCAGTGGCAGGATCTTGGCTCACTGCAATCCTTGCCATTCAGGTTCAGGCAATTCCCTTGCCTGAGACTCCCGAGTAGCTGGGATTACAGGTGTGTGCCACCAGGCCCAGCTAATTTTCGTATTTTTGTAGAGACAGGATTCCACCATGTTGGCCAGGCTGGTCTTGAACTCCTGACCTCAAGTGATCTGCTTGCCTTGGCCTCCCAAAGTGCTGGGATTAGAGGCCTGAGCCACCATGCCTGGCCTTTTGCTTGATGGTTTTAACACATGTGTTTGCATTCCTAAATAACATATTGTTCACTATTATGTGTTTTAAAAAATAATTTGAATATTATAATTTTTTGTAATTTACTTTTTTCATTCAACTATACTTTTGATTGTGTGGCTTTATTGAGTGTGTGTGGCTGTGGGAGCCATTTATTTTTATTGCATAAATTTATCACAATTTATTCATCCAATTAGTTATTGATAGGTATTTGGATTGTGTTTTTTATTTTTAGGTTGAGTTTTTATTTTTTGGAGTATTATGAGTGATGATACTATGAATATTCTTGCCTGTGACTCTTGGTACATGATGTATGACATTTTCTAGATTAAAAATGTGTTTTGGAATTTCTGGCTCAATTTTGCTAAATAAAGCCAAATCCATTGCTTGCCTTCACCAACAGACTCCTAGATTTTTGTCAGTCTGATATAAAACAGTATTTCATTGTCATTTTAATTTGCAATTTTTCTTGTTTATGAATGAGATTGAGCATCTTTTTTTTGAGACAGAGTTTCGCTCTTGTTACCCAGGTTGGAGTGCAATGGCACGATCTCGGCTCACTGCAACCTCCGCCTCCTGGGTTCAAGCAATTCTTCTGCCTCAGCCTCCTGAGTAATTGGGACTACAGGCGTGCACCACCATGCCCAGCTAATTTTTTTGTATTTTTAGTAGAGACGGGGTTTCACCATGTTGACCAGTGTGGCGATCTCTTGACCGCGTGATCCACCCACCTCAGCCTCCCAAAGTGCTGGGATTATAGGCGTGAGCCACCGCGCCTAGCCCTGAGCATCTTTTTATATGTTGATGATCATTCATGTTTTCCTGGAAATGCCTGTTCACGTCTTTTGCCATTTTCCTATTGAGTTTATCTTTTTAAAAAATTGATTCATAAGAGTTCTTTATATATTCTGGGTTCAAATCCTGTGTAAGAGAAATGTATTCCAAAAGTTTTCTCATTTTATTGTTTAGTGTATCACTCTCCTTATTGTGTGTTTTCAAAAAGACATTCTTAATTTGTCAACAAATTTATCAACATTTTCTTTTTTAAGTTCACAATCCTTCAAGGTGGAAACCCTTTTTCTTTTGTGATTTATTTTTTGGGTATTTAAGAAATTCTTTCTTATCCTGTGGTCATAAATATATTTTTCTA